AGAATCATCGTCGCGATCAAATGTCACGCTTTCTATCGCAAATTATCTAGCGTACTTATTCGACAAATTGTAATCGTCCTTAGAGATACACTGAAAACAAAATAAAGAGAAAAGAAACGAAGTGCGGATTGAAAATAAAATAACGCAGCAAAGAAACTGATATGACATAGACATATTTCCAATGAATTATATTTCTGAATTTATATAAAGAAATGTATGGGTCACTTCGCTATAATTTTTGGAATTTTAATTGTTATCGAAGTCTACAGAGAAATACAAATTGTCGCAATAAGCGTGATCGTTCGATACGCAAACCCTACCAAACAAGAAATCTTTCGTGTCGATTCATTATTAATATCCAAGCAACTGCACATTCGAACACGCGCATGTTAATTAGTATACGATGAGATAATTGGTAATGCGAATTCAGACTGTGGTCTATTAACTGTACAACCCGTTCGTCGAAGCCCGCAGGAAATTTCAGATTAATTAGTGGAAGCAGAACTGGGATGCGGTCGATCCACGTGCCTGTATGCTCCATAGCGATCGGTTTGCCTTCGAGTTGCGCGATAATACTCCCATCCGTTTATAAGAAACAGCCCCTCGAGTCATAGCAAACCGAACGACAATCGGATTTCGCCCGTTATAGTGACGTAAGTGTATCCTCGAGAGGCTCGAGTGCTCCTATACTGTTACGGATGAAACTGTGCAATAATAATTTTATTGCTATACTATGTATTAATACTACGTATTAATACTAAAATTCTAATGAACCTGACTATTATGCATTATTAACTTCCCGATTTATAGGGAAGTTACTGTATTTGCCCCTAAAATGAAAAATCCTCATTTCATCCTCAAGAACACCTCATTTTTATCATGCACTGTGAAAACTGGCTATGAAACGTTTTCATAACACTAGTTCCAAACATTTTATTTATTCGCGATAGATGGCGCTGTAATCGGAAATCTGGAAGTTCCTTGTGTGGCCCGTAAAGAGTTGCACACAAAATAAACATGAATACATGAATATATATATAAATATATGAATTAAGCGAGGAACAATAATCAGCTAGTTTTTATTATTCTTGTAACCCTTTGCACTCGGGAGGTAATTCTCAGTCACCACTAGGTTTTCTTTAGGCTTAATTTTTTTGAAACCGAAGTGTCAATAGAATGATTGTCTAATCTACAAGATATCAGAAAAAAGGCCTCGAGTACAAAGGGTTAATCTGTGTTATTCATTAAATTTCTTGTTTTAATATTATTCCATCTAACAAAAATTCTTATTGTATAGTTTTCAATAAATTTCTGCTTGAATTTTTCTCATATCTATTTGTGTGCATTTTACTCGATAACTTGAAAAATTTAAGTTAAAAGATATCTAATCGAGGAAACTCAGATTTGTTGGAGCAAAATAAACAGCTTCCAATCATATTTAAATAAAAAAATCTTTACATAACAGTCTTATACATCACTTTATTTTCATTTTATATTGTTCAAATTTAGATAAACATGGTATATTCATCCAGAAAAAGCCTGAGGAACAGTGGGATGACGTTGGTAAGCGTCGTTACAGCTACCCTATTTCCGGACCCTTTGGACATGCTAATTAAACCGGCTAATAGCCAGTCCGGCCTTGGCCGCCCATCAATCGATTTAACTACAAATTCAATTGGACTTTGCTTGTTAAACGGGAAAAATAATTACCTCGCCCAAAGGTCGAGGTAAAAAAAGTACACGTAACTCGTTAACTGGTTAGTTTCGCTTATTGTCGGACTTGTTTTGTCTGCGAGCTTCTTTCTTAATTCTGCCCGCATACAGGGTGTCCCACGATCAGTATTTCGATTCAGAAGCAGAATATTCTTGATGCAGATATTATATAATTCACGTGTAAAATGGGGCACAATTAATTCTTACAATATTAATAAATATACAAATGTATTCACGGGATAATTAGCGTATAGAATGCTATAGAGTTATTTAAATTCTGAATGAAGTATAACTAATTTATACAATACAACTTCAGATTTTAAATTAAAGTTGATAATATTCAAGCTTTAATAGCCGCGATCAAATATTTCTGAACTCTATTCTGAAGTACTATCCATCGAGGTAGCTCCCACGATTGTTTCAGTCAAACGTGTGCCCCAAACGGTTTTCGAAATCAATTTCCTCTTAAACAGAGCCTCGTATGAAAAAATTTTATTGCACCTTTTCGATACAGTTTTACACATATAATTATCTACTACTGAGTTACCACTCCCAATTATACCAATTTAGGAACATTCGCCTTTAATTGCCAAATAAAAATTCCACTTTTCCTTGAAATAAAGATTTCCCAACCCCTCGAATGCTTTAACATCTCCTTTTCCTTGACAGGACCCTGGCGAAAGGAAATCTTAAATCTCATCTTATCCACGAAAATATTCCAGAATCCGACTTTGTGGGAAACATGCTCTGCGTTTAAGATTCCGCGAGCATCCGACGTGCAGAAAAGGATGTCAATAAATGGCCCCGTTGCAAAGCATAGAATAACGCAGGATAGAGAGTCAGTGTACCCTTTGGAACACCACTGGAAGGCGGGAGTCTCAAAGCAAACTAAGTTGTATAAATCAAAGGCTATTCCGCCAGCAACAATTTGATATAGATGCCCTGGGAGGCGAGCTTTAAAAGAGAGAAACGTCGAATGAGCTGAAAACCGAAAAAGAAGTGTCTGGACTCGGTGGAGCACGCACACGCCGACAAAGAATCTTTCAATGTCGTGCATCGTTTTAAGCAGAGAGGGAGGAAAGGAGTTTTATTTAAACCGTGCGCATGCATTTCGCGATATTTTTCTAAAAATTCTTAATGAATTTTGCAGCACGCGCGAGCCGGAAATATTGTGGGAGCGTTTCAACAGATATTTCAATGTATGCGCAAGCATAGCTTGTACTAAAGGTTGATCTTCCCGAAAACATTTTTAAACATTTTTAGCCAAGCCATAGGAACATTTGGAACGCTCTGTGTGTGTATATGAAAGGGCGAAATTTAATCTTCACTGTGCGAATTCGAATGGGAATTAAACCTAGTCCACATCTACATAAATGCAGTAAACCTACCACAAGCCGTCAAATGATTGTTTTCATACTTTAGTATACAGTTTTTATACAAAATATTTATTTCTCTCTATTTAGTTCCGCGTAAAATATCTTTTTACTTAGAAGTGTTTTCGAGACTAATCATTCGTCCAATTAAAGTAAAAATATATACATAAGTATCATTCGTCCAATTAAAGTATAATATATAGTTACAAATGAACATCGATAGGTTTAGTGTTAAGCCAACAGACTGTTTCGAATAATATAGAAAATTCATTCGCGGGAATAAATTTAAGTTTATTTTCATTCCCTGTCGACGTCTACAGGGGAATTTTCTTAGAAGCTATAAGATCGTTACTTTACGTTCCAGAAGAAGCCACCGAACAGAACGTTCGCAGCGACTTAATGAAAGGTTGGTCCTTTCTTGGGGAAAAAACATATTCCGTCGCTTTCCCGGCGAAAGCACTTCCATGTTTTTTTTCTCCATTTCGGCCAAAAAGGCGAGGGAAAACGTGACTCAAGGCCAGGGATATAACGCGAACGGGATCGACTTCGCGCAGAGCTAATTACGCATTGATAACTAACGAGCTTCCTTTGTGCAAATTTTCGGGGAGACGAAAGACCCTGGGAAATTTTATTCGACGCGCCGGATTAAACGCCTTTGCCCGTGCGGAACGTGAATCGCTAATTCGGCACGTACAATCGCACGTTTAATCCGCCGTGACTCCAGTTACTTGATCCCCGCGTTAGTCCCTGCGCGAAGGTATGTCGACCCCTGACGGGAAATCGATGCTCGCCCCCTTTTTACTTTTTAATCACGACATAGGACATCCAAACGTATACAGTGTATACGTGTATATATATGAAATAGTAAACTATAAAAAATATATACAGTGGGTGTAGAAAGTATTCGTACACCGATCATTTTCAAAAAAACTATGTGAAATTGTAATTTATTAACGTATTTTTTATAAACAATACCATTCTATATATTCTCGGAAATCTCTGGACTAGATAGAGTACAAAAAAAAATAGCTATTTATGTAAGTTGCGAAATTAACAAGAAAATAACAATTAATCGATAGAAATATTGAAGCAATAAGTATTCGCACAACTGTGTAATTTTTAAAAATTCATTTAAAAAAAACGTAATTTACATTAATTTGTAAATAATTAATACTTCGTGGGATTTCTTTTTCATTTTATAATTACTGCAACTCTTCCAGGCCGTAATTAACTATCATAAATGTCGATGTTATTCAGGGTAGGATCTTCTTTCATTTCTTTATTACAGCATTTTTTAAGTCTTTTTTTACTGGAAATTTAATGTTTTCTAATTCTCATGAAGCAATAAACTGATGTGCTTATGTTACAAATTCTACTGTAAATTGTTCGTCATAAGAACCGTGCGAATACTTATTGCTTCTATATTCCTACCGATTTTTCGTATTTTCTTGTTAATTTCGCAAACTATATAAACTAGTAATTGTTGTTTGAACTATATTCTAGTGATTTCCGAAAATATGTAGAATATTATTGATTAATATAAAAAAAGGAGTTAATAAACTACAATTTCACACAAAAGCTTTTCGGGAAATTGATCGATGTACGAATACTTTCTACACCCACTGTAGATCGTTGATGGTGTCATGATTTAATGAATATTAAACCAATAAAAGAAATATGATAGATTCCTTTCTATTAATTAAAAAGTAAGTAATACACGCGACATTCGCTTTAAGAGACTGCAAGACACTCTGATAATACTCGTGTTCGTCTTTGAAGAAAATTTACCAATTTTTTAATTCAAGAATTTGTTAATATTTATGAAATTACAGGATATGATATAAACCCTGTTTATGTTTAAATGTGAAAAATTGCTTTCTAAATACTAATATCACGGTCATTTTTTCTTTACAGTTTTACCAACTGTTGGAGGCTAGTCACGTGGCGAACACCACCCTGACGTACCGTCACGTGACCTTATTCGCGCCCACAAACCGAGCTTTCCAGAAGTACAATGGAACAACGAAGAACCTGTTACTCTACCACATGTGTAAGTACCTTGCATTCCATTTATCATGTAATTATCACGCGTACTGAACTCCAAAAAAAATGTAGCTTTTATCTTGAAATTCAAAATATTCGATGCAATTGGCATTAACCCTTTGCACTCGAGGCATTTTTTTCTGGTATCTACCAGTAACTCGAATGCTAAGCTTAGATTGACTTGGAAGATGTAGCCGGATTCGTGATCGTAAACTCATTTGAGATTTTACCGCACCTTTACTGCACTGACAATCATTTCATTGACACTTTGAGTTCGAAATATCTACTACTTAATCAAAGCGTGATACAAAATTTGTAAAAATTACGTAAACTATCTCTATACTATATTATTTAACAATCGTCGAGTGTCGAATTCGTCCTCGCAATGCTAATAATTTCGTTAGCAACCATTCCCCACGAATTAGATTTTCATGAAACGCGCTAAAAGCCTCAACGGGGGATCTCGTAAAGACTAATATCACTCCGCAACTTGTACTCTAATAAAAGTTAACGCACTTACAACGGCGAAAGTAAACTGCAACACAAACAGCGGTGTGTATTCGGGCAGGGCATTGCGCGAGTGTGGCGAGAGCTTCCGTAATCCGAAACCAGAAAGTATCAATATTGGGCGAGCATTAAAGAATCTAAAGTCAAAGATATTGACTTGCTTTCAGAGTCCCGCGTTGCACAAGCCCGTTAATGCATTCGACTATCTCTTTCACCGCTGGAAGCTCGCTTAAAAAACCCGTGTGTACGCTCGCCATCGAAACCGATCGGAAATACAAATTTTTATTTAAATTGTTTTTTGAAACAAGTCGATGGAAATGTTTGAAGGCTACTAGAGCGCATACCTTCTACCCACATACAGTGAGTGTAGAATGTACTCGTACATCGATCAATTCACCAAACAGTCTTGTGTGAAATTGTAGTTTATTAATTTTTTTTTTATAATTAATGGTATTCTATATATTCTCGAAAATCTCTAGAGTGGATATACGAGGGTCGTTCAGAAAGTAAGTTCAACGGTCTAATTACGCTGTGAAAGAGTGATCAAAACACAAAAACAAGGTCATTTTTTAAATTTTCAGACAATTTTTTATTTTTCTACATAATCGCCACATCTTTCAATATATTTCGTATAACGAGTAACAAGCTTTTGAATTCCTAAGGCGTAATGACTTTCGTCCACTTTGCGTCCGCTGGTCGTCCTTCGCGCTCTTCATCGTGCAACTCTTCGCGGCCATTTAGGGACGCTGTTCACCAACGTGTAACCATCTGCAGGCTCACGCATTTATCGCCGTAAACAAAACATAATTCTTGATAAATTTCTGTGACTGTGATGTTTTTAGCGGTAAAAAAACGTATTATACACCGCGGTTCACACTTGGACGCAAATTTTAACGGAATCGCCATTATAAAATGTTACAAAACACGCGACAATCGACCGACCAGGGTCTACGACATACGAAACTGATCAAAATAAATGAGAGAACATATTCCTAAAATTTTGTAGTTCTACCTTCTCACCAATATCAGCGCTAACATCGTTGAACTTACTTTCTGAACGACCCTCGTAGTCCAAGGAACAATTACTAGTTTATAGAATTTGCAAAATTAACAAGAAAATACGAAAAATTGGCGGAAATAAAGAAGAAATAAGTATTCGTATGGTTCTTATGACGAACCATTTATAGTAGAGTTTGTAACGTAAACACATCAGTTTATTGCTTCGTACTGTTAAAATATGTTCATATTAGGTTTCTCTGGGTATTTTTGTATTTATGCGGTTGACTGTAGTGGTCTATGCTTCTTCTGTTTTTTTTACTAACTTGTAACTAGGTTCAGAATGTGTATAAGCCTACAATGGCAACATGTGTGTTTCCAATTCCTTTTTCTTACTTATAGTTACTTTATATTTTATTCCTTTCTTTTATTTACGTTAATAAATCTTAATAATAAAAGATGAATTTATTTTCATTGATTCTAAAACGTACAAATTAGAAAACATCAAATTTCTAGTAAAGAAGTCCTGAAAAATGGTGTAATAGAGTAGTGGAAGAAGATCCCACACCGAATAATATCGACATTTAGTTAATTACAGTCTAGAAGAGTTGCAGTAATTATAAAATCAAAAATAAATTCTTGCGAAGCATTAATTATTTATAAATTAATGTAAATTTCGTTGTTTGTTTATGAAGTTTTAAAAATTTAACAATTGTACGAATACTTATTGCTTCTATATTTCTATCGATTTAGAGTTTTTTCTTAAAAATTTTGCAACTTATATAAATAGCTAATTTTTTTGTACTGTATTTATTGTAGAAATTTTCAAGAATATGTAGAATATGATTGTTTATAAAAAAGAAGTTAATCAATTATAATTTCACGTAGTTTTTGGGAAATTAATCAATGTACGAATACTTTCTACACCCACTGTATAACACCTAGTATTTATAATTCCGTACGCCATGAATGCACAAGATTATTAATCCGTAGATCACAATGAACGCTCGTGTTCGTCTGCAAAAGTCGTTGTTTCCCATTCATCGCAACGTCACATCTAAAATACAATCACGGTGTCGATGCACCTTCGGTGCATTATTGCGATTGACTGGGATCGACTAATCCCTCGTGGTGTACCTCGTAACGTGTCGGAATCCGTGACGTCACTCACGCTGCTTTGTCAATTAAACTCGTGTGTCTCCCTCACGCGCGCACCGCCGACAGCTCGAGTGATCGAACGATGACACAGAACACTCTTAATTCCGACAATTACGCGTTGTTTAATTATTTCGGCACGATCATGCATTTCGAAATGTTCGAATGATCCCAGAGGGACGATAGTCGACTATTCCACTCGGACATGTATGACTTTGTTTGACAGGACAAGTGCGGAGTGCTTGAGAGCTTTTCACTTTTAATTTTATGGATCGCGTGTGTAATATGGACTCGAGTGATCTCGATTAGGGGGTTTTAAACTTGGGGGAATTTTGGATTGTTTGGTTTAGGATGTTTCGAGCTTGAGTGCGATGGTAGAGGTTGAAAGTTGTTCGTTTAGCGATATGGAGCATTCGTAAACGTCGAGTTCTCCCATCAGGAAATTCGAATTCTTCCGACTAAATTCAATTAGAACCAATTGATTGTCCCCGAACCATCAGCCAGTCTTTGCTCCTTGTTGTCTGCACGGTTGGAAGGAACATTTCCCAGCAACCACGGGTGCAGAAACAAGGACAAGGACGAATCTACCTCCCCTTAGACGATCTGGTAACAGGAGCAAGGGAGAATTTAATCGCGTACGGTCCCAATTCCACTCAAGCCGCGAATTCGAGTGCTATGGTAGCCAACCGCGTGAAGGATAGCAAGGAGACTCCTCTAATTGTCAATCGTCGATCCGGTGGAGAGAAGTCGCGGTGGAATCGATTATCTCAAGCAAAGTTTACGACGTTGACCGACTGTCTACTACTAAAGTCCTATATCTAGCTAAAGGCATCCAAAATGTGATCCTCAAACGTTAGAATGGAATATATCATTTCTTGAAAGTGTATGCGTTAGTATTTGGAAAATAATTAAAAGAAAATAACATTCCAGTCCCATGTAGTGTTTTATGAAGATAAGAGTAAGGTAGAAGTTCATCAAACCCACTGCTTTCGGACGTTAACATATGTATATGAATGTGATATAATATTCGTTGCTGTAATCCATTTTTAATTAGGGCCCTATGAAAGGGACATCTATGACGTCATCTGTATCGTATAATTCGTCCAAATGCACTTAAAGAATGCATTAATTAACAAAGCTCCGCTAAATTCCAAATCTGGAAAGGTTCGTTGAATATTCATTGATCCCATTGACAATGCACGAAGCTTTGGATTAAACATAATAATTTCATAAAAATTTAAATAATCCTGTACTATTTACCGACAATATCGAATAAATACTTTTTGTTGAATGTAATGGTATTGGTTATTGGGGTTAGAAAATTAAAAATCAAACAAACTTACCTCTAAGTGAAGTTCGATGGTAATTATATGGAGGTCTCGTTCGAAGGGATTACAATCTATGCAAAGAATATCGTCTAAATAAATACTAGATAAAAAATCCTGTTTTCGCAAATATCTCATTATCGGTCTCATTAACTTAGTAAAAACGAACGGGCTTGTAGACAAGCCAAAAGGGAGGTATGTAAATTCATAAACTTTACCTTCAAAGATGAATCGTAAGAATTGTCAACTTTCTTTACTAACATTAACGAAAAAATAAGCATCCTTAAGATCTAGAGAGCACATCAAACAATCTCGTGAGATTAATTCTCTAATTTAAAGTGACATGTGTTTATGAATTTATTTAGCTTTTTTAAGTTTAAAATGAATCGTTTTGACCCATTCGGTTTTGAAATTAAAAAATGAGGCAAGAAGAGTTTTTGACCGAGTCACACTGGCGAACAGCTCCACACAGTGTCAATTTTATAATTTCTATCTTGAAATTATTATGCTCCTCTTGTGATAAATTCTTACCAGTACATATCAGGATTGGAATCCCGAGAACGAGACTGACATATAATAATTATCACTCAGTTATTCTCTTTTATAAGACACTGTTTATTTCGACCAGAAAGTTAGGAGCTGCGATGTTGCTCTCGAGAAGACTACGATCGAACTGAGTATTTCGACGTCAGTGGAAAAATGCAACGAAAACTATCGGTGCCCTCTTGTCTCAGAAAAAGGTCTGGTGAATTTCGGTCTTACGATAACGCATGATGGAACGCCCGACGGAAAAAAGTGCACCGATTCCGATTGTGAGAAAACCACCTAACCGACAATCCCCGCTTTTTGCACACATAAAGAACATATCAATCACTACTTGTTCCCAAAAGGCCAGCGCTTCAGTTTAAAAAATGGCGAAGATACAAATTTTTGAAAAAACGCCGAATTTTCCGTTTTTCCAGATTTTTCTCCGTTCCTCATTATCCGATCGCGACGTTCGGGGTCTCATTCTGTAGGTATTTTC